TAGGAGGTCCCTGGCATGTTGATATATTTTCAAACTAAGCATATGATTTTATTAAATGGGTCATTGTCTTCTCTCTACCTCCCTGAAATTATGATGCCCTCTGACCTCATTTATCTGATTTTTGGTTATTTAGGTCTCTGGCCCCTTGAGATGAATGTTGTGTAGCAGCTCTTAGCTTAGGTAGAGTGATAGCTCAGGACCTTTCTCCGTGGATAACATGGGGCTGGAGAGAGCCTTAAGGGGGCTGCCTATGGACATGATCTCTGGACCCTGGCAGATTTTTTGGTTTAGGAACTTCAGACATACTCTCAAAGAGATGCTGTTCCCATGCTATTTACCATGAAAGAACTGTAGCTCATTTGTAATTCAGGGGCTATTTAGGTTGTGTTCATTTTGTAGAAAAGACCTGAGAGAGATTGTGTCCTGTGGTTTAATTCTACTTTGCAATTCATTCCCTTCCCACATGAGCTTTTAAGAACAGAAGCTGGTGAATAGGGAATCACCAAGAGGCAGGAATAACCAGCTGATGTTCAGCAAGTGGGGCAACTCTGGCCAAGTATAAAGGTCTCAACTCAGATGGGTATTCAACCTACATTCGTGTTTTACGGAGCCCGACTGATCTTGGATCATAAATTTCTGGTTTAATTGTTCACTGTCCATCTCTGAGCCTTTTTGGTCCGTCAGTCTTTTGCGACCCTTCCATCTGGTTTCCCTAGCTGGTGGGGGGAAATAGGAGGAATGAGCACTCATCTTACCTACAAACCGTATCAAGTCTTGGGGGGCCTGAGAACATACCCTTATTTACCCCATAGAAATGGTGATCTGGTTGACCGAGAGACTGGGATTGCTAATCTTGGCTCCTGCACAGAATCCTCTCTGTCCTGGACACAGGCTCAGTATGTACAAAATGGCAACATTGGGGCTCTGTTTGGGCCTTAGCGAACTTGGCTTGTAACCTGTTCCAGTGAGTAGAGTGAAAGGCCAAGGGATATTGCACAAAGGTTATGGATTTCCTGCCACCGTTCTGTCAAGTCGCCTGTAACTGGTTGAGGGCAGGATGGAATCTCTGCTTAAAGCCTCCCTGTTCCTTCCTAGGAGAGTCATCTGTATGTGTCAGACTTGCAAATTGTCAAGAATACTGGCATGAGTTCTAAATGGAGCATTGAATAATTAACTTTGGGGTCTATACTTTAGGGAGTTTGCTCTTTTCTAAGTTTCAGTATTTTGGGTCTAACTAGAAATGCATGAAGTATCTTGTACTGTTTTTTATTAGTTTCAGCTAACTGTTCATTTCCTTCTCATTTGGACATGGAATATGTATCTCTTACAAAGGTCATGGGTGAAGAATTTCAATACCAATTACAGCAGTAAAAATCTACAAATTTAAAACTATTACAACATTACTGAGTTCTCTGACTTTGTTATCTGTTTAAGCCCCATACACATATTCATATTTGTTAACTTAGGTCAGAATTGTGGTTTTGGGCTATAATTCTGTTGCATTATTTGTGTTTCACTTAAAGTGTTGAAGATACTGACCTGCATTTATACTTTCTCCTTAGAGTCTAGAACAGTGATGGCAAACCTATGACACACGTGTCAGAGGTGACATGCGAACTCTTTTTTTGGTTGATTTTTCTTTGTTAAATGGCATTTAAGTATATAAAATAAATATCAAAAATATAAGTCTTTGTTTTACTATGGTTGCAAATATCAAAAAATTTCTATATGTGACACGGCACCAGAGTTAAGTTAGGGTTTTTCAAAATGCTGACACACCGAGCTCAGAAGGTTCGCCATCACTGGTCTAGAACCTGCCATGGCAAGAATGGAACAGTCTTGTGAATTGCTTAAATGACACAAACTCAAGAACCCCAAATTGAATTCAATTGTTAGTGTTTCATTAAACTATTTTCACAATTCTCCTTATTGATTACGTAGTTGAATAAAAAATTTAAACCAGGCCTAGACAGTGAGGAATAAGAAAGTCCCAGGGAGGTCGGAAGAGACCTTTAAAGGAAGTGTTGTTTTGACTAAGTGTTCCATTTGTACTCAACCAGAGCTACCAACATGAAACAGTATTTTTAAAATAAAAAAGGAGCCTGTACACTTTAAATTTTTCATTTTAGATAGCAAAATAGCAGTTTTAGAAGCTTGTATATATTTTTTTTCTTCTCTGCATGTGGAAACAAGGGGAACAATAGAAGAAATGTGATAAACATAGTATTTTAGATTATTTTAGCAAAAGTGTACAAACTGCAAAAAGCATATAAACTTTAAGCTATAGGTATAAATATATCTTTTAACAGATTTATTTTTCTAGCACCCCCC